GTCTCCCTCTAAAGATAGGAACGAAGTTTACATCTACATGATGAAGGATGATGACTTCGACTCCGTCACAATCCCACCGATCAAGCCTATATCCAGCGTACGGGACAACCTTCGCACAGCCTTCGCGGAGGCTTCCAAGTACCAGATGCAGCAACTACCATCTTTTAATAAGAGGAAATTCCCCCTACATCATATGGAACCATTTGTGAAGGCGCCGGAGTGGGACGACAACATCAAGTTGGTAAACGACGCCAGGAGTAAGGTGTATAAGGTAGATAATAAGAAGCTATCATAACTGGATACAGCTTCTATAAGAACTTTCTTCGGACTAGCAAGATCTAGAGCCATCAACGAAGCGTTGATACAGAAATTCCAAGATTCCACCACGGAAGAGGATAAGATGACCTACTCGGCCCTCGTCACACAAAAGAAGGATCAGTTCTTTTTGTCGGACCACCTCACATCGATTTCGACGGAAATCACCTTAATACGCAGACAGGGTCTACTGGCGTCCTGCTCCTGGAATGACAGATTTACGCAGCCACTACTACAAGCTCCGTGGGAGGCGCCTACCATCTTTGGAGGTCTATTTGACGATGCAGCTAAACAAGCTACACAAGACTCCAGAGAGGTGAGACCATAGACACCTTGGCCAACCTCATCCGCCATACATCCCAGACATACATCCCAGACATACAACAACAAGTCTAAGTACGCTGGAATACAGAGAGCTGGAGAAATACTCCAGCTCCACAGGCGGGAAGGACTGTTTTTGTCGCCCTTCGGGCAACTACAGAGGAAGCTCAGGAAGAGGCCCAGCCCCAGAGCTTCCAGAGGTACCAGACGCTAATGCCAGAGTTCGGAACGACTGGAGTCCAGCCGTTCCTGTTAAACTATCGACAGTGGGTGGATTTCTACAAGGGTACTGGAAGAATTGGGGAATTCTAGGAGACAACTACACCTCTCAGATACTAAGAGAAGGATACAAAGTACAACTAAAAGCTGCTCCTCCGCTAACCCTCAGCCTGATGGTCTTCAAGTACGCAGAGGAACAGGCAGACAGACTACAAGAAGCCATCAACGCACTACTCTCGAAAGATGCGGTAGAGATAATGGACCAGAATCATCTCACCCCAGGCTTCTATTCCCCAATTTTTCTAGTACCAAAGAAGAACTCCTTGGAGAAGTTCAGACTGATTTACAACATGCGCAAATTCAACAGAGACTACTTACTGAAACCAGAGAGGTTCAGCATGATCCACCTACCTCAACTGAAACAACTCGTCTGTCCAGCAGATTACATGGCCAGCATAGACTTACAGGATGCGTACCTGCACATCCTGATACATCAAGAATCAAGAAAATATCTACGATTCCTGTTCAGAGGGCAACACTCCCAATGGAGCATGCTACCGTTTGGAATATCTTCGGCCCCGTGGCTATTCACACGAATAACCAAGCCTATAGTCGCATACCTTCATCAACGAGGTCTTCGCAATGCCTTCTACTTGGACGACGGGATTCAGGTCCACCAAGATGCAAGTCTACACAGACTACAACTGAACTTCACGATCAAGTTGCTCACTCAACTACGATGGTTGGTGAACCTAAGGAAGTCAGAATTGGAACCAAAACAAGATCTACAATTCCTGGGGATAAGATTCATCACTACAGAGAATAAGAGATTCATCACTACAGACCCAGTCATCCCAGAGGATTGCTGGGTCAAAATACAAGCCATGATTCCGCCAGCAGTCACCTCTACGTTAACACTATGATCATGGCAAGTTCTACTCGGTCTACTAACCTCGGCGCAAGACTTGACGCACATAGGAAGGTTACAGCTAAGACCGCTACAACGGTTCCTCATAAAGCATCTGGACAGTGTCGACCCTATTCTGCTGAAAACCTCAAGAGGTATCTACTATGGTGGACACACAGGTCGATTGTCTGCGAAGGAGTCTATTTACAAGAGCCGGCCTTCGAGACACACCTCTACGCAGATGCCTCGTTGCAAGGATGGGGGGCGCATCTCAACGATCAAGTGGTGTCGGGGAAGTGGTCCCATACAGAACAAAAGCTCCAAATCAATCTACTAGAGATGAATGCAGTGATCAACGCCGTACAACTATGGTTGAGCTTGCTGAACAACAAGATGTTGATGATCCACACAGACAACTCCACAGATCCACAAGATCGCCAAACCTTTTGCAGCTCACATTCCAGTTGTTCCAGATCACACAGAAAGCAGACATCTGGATAAAGGTGTGTCACATACCCGGAGCCAAGAACGTACTGGCAGACGCTCTCTCAAGACCACTACACCCGTCACCTACGGAATGGATGCACCATCCAGAAGCGTTTCGGAACATAAGGGAAATAGGATTCCCTTCCATAGACCTGTTCGCCACGAGGTTCAACAAACAACTGCAGACGTTCGTCTCACCAGTTCCAGATCCTCAAGCCTGGGCAACAGATGCACTGAGCATGTCGTGGGGAAGGACTAAACGGCTACGCTTTTCCACCCCCGATACTACTGCCAAAAGTACTGGTCAAGATCAAACAGACACAGACGCTACAACTGACTTTGGTCGCGCCTTACTGGCCAGCAAGAGCATGGTTCCCAGATCTACTAGAAACCCTAGGAAGCCCAGTAATCAAGCTTCCAGATTGGCCGAACCTACTGATACATCCGCACACCAAGCAAGTCCACAGAAACCCAGCAGTGTTCCAGTTACACGTGTGTACCGTATCAAAATGTGTTTGAAGAAAAGAGGATACTCCGTCAGAGCAGCCAAAACAGTAACACTAGCGTTACGCAGATCAACTCGTAACCTATATGACAATAAATGGCTGAAGTTTGAAACTTACGCAAGGCGGAAAGGCTTCACAGCAATAATAGCTACGCATCCTCAAGTGGCGGAATATCTATGTCATCTGAGACAGACCAGACATCTGAAGGGTTCGACTCTATCAAATTAACCTCACTGCCATCAGTACAGTAATTACCATGAAAACAGGCATCAAGTTGACGAAAGTACCAGAATTACTCGCTCTACTGAGATCATTCAAGTTGGATGACCAACAAAAGAAATTCAGAGCTCCGGCCTGGGACCTGAATGTAATTCTGCATCATCTTCCCAGTGATGTCTACGAACCACTAGACCAGATCACGATCGAGCTACTAACACAGAAGACGCTGTTCCTGCTAGCGTTAGCCACTGCAGCTCGCATATCGGAAATACATGCGCTGGACTACAAAATAATACAGTTCATCTAGGACTTAGATGGGACTTTATTGCCAAGAACCAGCTACCTGGTCAACCAGATAGCAGTTCCACGTACCAGCGCTGTCTACAGTCCTTGGTCCACAGGATATAGAGGACTTATCCTTGTGTCCAGTCAGAGCCCTGAAGATATATCTTCAAAAGACTCAGACGAGGACACAAAACTTCAAGCGCCTGTTCATCCCATTATCAACAGAGTCTCAAGAACGACCATATCGTTCTGGATGAGAGCCGTTATATTGAGAGCCTATAAAGCAGCAGGACTAGAACCTCCTAGAGCTTCCAACCCACACGAAGTCAGAGCACTAGTGTCAACACTAGATCTGCATGGAAATTGCTCTATACCAACAATAAATGGAGGGCTGCTTTTTTAAGTCGGACACGGTGTTTGCCAACAACTACCTCCGAGACAAAGCCACTGAAGACGTCTCAGGCATTCAACAATTTGGGCCTCTCATTGTAGCACAGCAACTAGGCGCTGAGTTGGAAAATCTCACCCTTTATCACGTTGACTTGTTGATAACTTTTACTAAGGAAAAGTATTAGTTTGAAAGTCCATGCGCACAGTCTAGGACAGGCTAGCATGAGTGATTAAAGATCCTGTACGGGTAAATATCTTACCTCTACGTGAAGGGGTCGCAACTCATTTATGATAAAAATCTTATCATAATCTATGGGTTGTTTTAAGATATCTAGTAATAGGAAGATACTTTTTTATCGGTAGCCACATGAATCAACATGATTCAACTTGTCTGAGATTGAAGTAGGACAAGAAAGTGGTCCCCCCGAGTAACGGAAGTTGGAAGAATAGGATCACGGAAATGCCATTCGCAGTTCCCATTGAGGGGATACTGGACGTATCTAAGGACAGCTGTTGAATCCACAAAGTGGCTTGACCAACCACCAATCTGTCGGATTCTATAAGCAAAAGATCATGAGTCAGGATAAGGAGAAATATGTCATTTTTTAAGTAAAATTGATATTTTATGCTTATCCTGACTCATGATGAAGAAGCCCTCACAGCCTCCCCATTGAAGACACTTGAGAATTCACAGCAGATCCAAGTGCATGGGCAGAAAATCAGGAGAGAGTGACAAGTAAGGCATGTCACATGACTGGTTTGCGCGGGAAAGGGCAAAGGGAGGTAACTCGTGGGTGAGTGTATTTATACGTCCCCTTCCGGAACTTCAAGGGATTCAAGTGTTCCACTACCATTCAAAGAGGAAAGGGAGATAAGCAAAAGATCATGAGTCAGGATAAGTATAAAATATCAATTTTACTTACAAAATTACATTTTTATCAAACAAATTACATTATATTGCAATAGTGGTGAGGGAGCTCATTGTTTACTGCAGAACAATCAACTGTTGCCATTGTTTACTGCAGAACAATCAACTGTTGCCATTGTTTACTGCAGAACAATCAACTGTTGCCATTGTTTACTGCAGAACAATCAACTGTTGCCATTGTTTACTGCAGAACAATCAACTTTTGCCATTGTTTACTGCAGAACAATCAACTGTTGCCATTGTTTACTGCAGAACAATCAACTTTTGCCATTGTTTACTGCAGAACAATCAACTTTTGCCATTGTGATTACATGGCCTGTGCAACTGGGTTGGGACTGAGCTTCAGTATGACTGTGTATCACAACTTGCTTCCAGAACATTGGGCGACAGTCTTGTTAAGAAAATCCTCTTCTTTCAACTACAGCCATCCCTGTTTGGTTGGAGTATGTCCAGTTTGCAATTGGTGGAATGGGAGCGGAGGATGGGGTTCAGAATGTCCGTGCCGTGTTTGAGAAGTCCATCACAGCAGCAGGCCTCCACACTAGTCAGGGAGCAAACATATGGGAGGCCTACAGAGAGTTTGAAAACGCTGTCCTTGCCGGACTCATGGTGAGATTATCAGCTATTTATGTGCTTGTCTGTCCTTGTGTGTAGACTGTTATCAGCTGTATATGTGCTGTGTGTAGACTGTTATCTACTGTATATGTGTTGTGTGTAGACTGTTACCAGCTGTATATGTGCTGTGTGTAGACTTATCAGCTGTATATGTGTTGTGTGTAGACTGTTATCAGCTGTATATGTGCTGTGTGTAGACTGTTATCAGCTGTATATGTGTTGTGTGTAGACTGTTATCAGCTGTATATGTGTTGTGTGTAGACTGTTATCAGATGTATGTGCTGTGTGTAGACTGTTATCAGCTGTATATGGGTTGTGTGTAGACTGTTATCAGCTGTATATGTGTTGTGTGTAGACTATTATCAGATGTATGTTGTGTGTAGACTGTTATCAGCTGTGTATGTGCTATGTGTAGACTGTTATCAGCTGTATATGTGCTGTGTGTAGACTATTATCTACTGTATATGTGCTGTGTGTAGACTGTTATCAGATGTGTATGTGCTGTGTGTAGAGAGTGTTAGTTTGTTCAGGTGTCCACAATATACTTCCACCCCTGTCACAGTCTGGAGTAAGATATGGAATGACTGGGTTTAGAGATGTTGGTACCATGGTAACAGCCAAGACAGTCCAACTTGCTGTGTTTATTGAGTATGTTTATAAATGTTGTTACCATGGTTACAGCCCCCGCCAGGAACAGTCCCAACCAAAGAGCAGGAAGAAGCCTTCACTGCCCAGAACAAACGGGTCCAGACTCTCTTCAGGAGACAGTTGGCTGTGCCCCTGTTAGGTACGTAACCATAGTGATCTCCATATTACTCAACTGTTCAGTGCCTGTGATTTGTCCGTGACTAAGATGCCTCTTTTGTGTCTCCATGTTCAGTCTGTTAAGACTGTACATGGGTGTGCATGTGGTACAAATATGACTGACTGAGATGCTGCACCTGTGTTATGACTGCCTGTGAGATGCTGTACCTTTGTTATGCCTGTCTGTGAGATGCTGCACCTGTGTAATGCCTGCCTGTGAGATGCTGCACCTGTGTTATGACTGCCTGTGAGATTCTGTACCTGTGTTATGACTGCCTGTGAGATGCTGCACCTGTGTTATGACTGCCTGTGAGATGCTGCACCTGTGTTTTGATTGCCTGTGAGATGCTGCACTTGTGTTATGACTGCCTGTGAGATGCTGCACCTGTGATATGACTGCCTGTGAGATGCTGCACCTGTGTTATGACTGCCTGTGAGATGCTGCACCTGTGTTATGCCTGTCTGTGAGATGCTGCACCTGTGTTATGACTGCCTGTGAGATGCTGCACCTGTGTAAAGCCTGCCTGTGAGATTCTGTACCTGTGTAAAGCCTGCCTGTGAGATGCTGCACCTGTGTTATGACTGCCTGTGAGATTCTGTACCTGTGTTATGACTGCCTGTGAGATTCTGCACCTGTGTTATGACTGCCTGTGAGATTCTGTACCTGTGTTATGACTGCCTGTGAGATTCTGTACCTGTGTTATGACTGCCTGTGAGATTCTGTACCTTTGTTATGACTGCCTGTGAGATGCTGCATCTGTGTTATGACTGCCTATGAGATTCTGTACCTGTGTTATGACTGCCTGTGAGATTCTGTACCTGTGTAATGCCTGCCTGTGAGATGCTGCACCTGTGTTATGACTGCCTGTGAGATTCTGTACCTGTGTTATGACTGCCTGTGAGATGCTGCACCTGTGTTATGACTGCTTGTGAGATTCTGTACCTGTGTTATGACTGCCTGTGAGATGCTGCACCTGTGTTATGACTGCCTGTGAGATTCTGCACCTGTGTAATGACTGCCTGTGAGATGCTGCACCTGTGTTATGACTGCCTGTGAGATTCTGTACCTGTGTTATGACTGCCTGTGAGATGCTGCTGCACCTGTGTTATGACTGCCTGTGAGATGCTGCACCTGTGTAATGACTGCCTGTGAGATTCTGTACCTTTGTTATGACTGCCTGTGAGATTCTGCATCTGTGTTATGACTGCCTGTGAGATGCTGCACCTGTGTTATGACTGCCTGTGAGATTCTGTACCTTTGTTATGACTGCCTGTGAGATGCTGCACCGTGTTATGACTGCCTGTGAGATGCTGCACCTGTGTTATGACTGCCTGTGAGATGCTGCACCTGTGATATGACTGCCTGTGAGATGCTGCACCTGTGTTATGACTGCCTGTGAGATGCTGCACCTGTGTTATGACTGCCTCTGAGATTCTAGAGCTCTAGTATGACTGTTGTGTTTAGAATGGTCTCACATCTGTGTCATATGTCCCTACATGAATAATAAGTGCATATATAATGCGCTAAACTCCATCCACTAGCTGAATACTCATAACGCTAGCAAACGTCCACTGGTATTTACAAAGTTTGTTATTGGTTTCAAGATTAGGCTGTGTTGAAAATTGGTTGAACAAGTAGGTCTTTAAAGTACTGTTGAAAATGCAGAGATTTTCATTTTGTTCAAGTCAACAGGCAGTTCATTCCACAATGTTACTGCTTTGAAGGAAAGGGATCTTTTCCCAAAGCATCTAAGCTTTGGTTTTGACACACAGAAGAGACAAAGATCTCCAGATGGAAGTTGCTGTGGTGGTTCATAGTGTTTTGTGAGTTCTGACAGATAGGCAGCAGCAGAATGGTGATAGCATTGATAAGCTAAGTACAGTATCTTGTACTCAGTTCTAGCTTCAACAGGAAGCCAGTGAAGCTGGAGTTATGTGGGAGGATTTCTTGCACCTCTGGAGTTGCTCGTTTGATATGTTGGCCAAGAGACTGTTGCAGTAATCCAGTCGCGATAGCACCAAAGAACACCAAAAATGCATCTGTATCATCTATCCCTACATCAATGTTGTGTCCTTGTAACACTTGTGGTATACCTGTGTTATGTCTTTGTAATGCCTGTGGTATACCTGTGTCATGTCTTGACTCCTGAGAGTTTCTAGGACTTGAGTCCTGCCCCACAACGAAGCACATGTGAGACATGTGGTCTCACCTTAGGCAAGTGAGTTTGTTCAAAATTGTCTCTGTTCACCCAGCTGGAAAATGGGTACCCGGTGGAAAAAAGTCATATGACTATAACCTTCTAGCGCCTAACAGGCAGCTTGGGTTATCCGGGGTAATAATGTGCTGTGCCTTGATTGTTAGCGCTATGAGCATACCTAGTGTGGAGTTTGGCGCAATATAAATGGACACATTATTATTATTATTATTATGTCTTTGTAATGCCTGTGGTATACCTGTGTCATGTCTTTGTAATGCCTGTGGTATACCTGTGTCATGTCTTTGTAATGCCTGTGTAACGTCTGTGTTACGCCTGTGTTACACCTGCATTATGTCTTTGTTTATGCCTGTGTTGCAGACATGGAGGAGACATTGCGAGAGTTCGAGGAATGGAGTGGGGTTCAGGCTGAGAGTGTGGTGAGGCAGGCCTACTCCAAGGCTGCTGAACAGCTGGACAGACTCAGGCCACTAGAAACAGCACTTGTGAGTAACTTCCTCTAGACAGCACTTGTGAGTAACTGCCTATAGACAGCACTTGTGAGTAACTTCCTCTAGACAGCACTTGTGAGTATCTTCCTCTAGACAGCACTTGTGAGTAACTGCCTCTAGACAGCACTTGTGAGTAACTTCCTCTAGACAGCACTTGTGAGTAACTGCCACTAGACAGCACTTGTGAGTAACTTCCTCTCGACAGCGCTTGTGAGTAACTGCCTCTAGACAGCACTTGTGAGTAACTTCCTCTAGACAGCACTTGTGAGTATCTTCCTCTAGACAGCACTTGTGAGTAACTGTCTTTAGACAGCACTTGTGAGTAACTTCCTCTAGACAGCACTTGTGAGTAACTGCCACTAGACAGCACTTGTGAGTAACTTCCTCTCTACAGCACTTGTGAGTAACTGCCACTAGACAGCACTTGTGAGTAACTTCCTCTCGACAGCACTTGTGAGTAACTGCCTATAGACAGCACTTGTGAGTAACTTCCTCTAGCCAGCACTTGTGAGTATCTTCCTCTAGACAGCACTTGTGAGTAACTTCCTCTAGACAGCACTTGTGAGTAACTTCCTCTAGACAGCACTTGTGAGTAACTTCCTCTAGACAGCACTTGTGAGTAACTTCCTCTAGACAGCACTTGTGAGTAACTTCCTCTAGACAGCACTTGTGAGTAACTTCCTCTAGACAGCACTTGTGAGTAACTGCCACTAGACAGCACTGGTGAGTAACTTCCTCTAGACAGCACTTGTGAGTAACTTCCTCTAGACAGCACTTGTGAGTAACTTCCTCTAGACAGCACTTGTGAGTAACTTCCTCTAGACAGCACTTGTGAGTAACTTCCTCTAGACAGCACTTGTGAGTAACTTCCTCTAGACAGCACTTGTGAGTAACTGCCACTAGACAGCACTTGTGAGTAACTTCCACTAGACAGCACTTGTGAGTAACTTCCTCTAGACAGCACTTGTGAGTAACTGCCACTAGACAGCACTTGTGAGTAACTGCCACTAGACAGCACTTGTGAGTAACTTCCTCTAGACAGCACTTGTGAGTAACTTCCTCTAGACAGCACTTGTGAGTAACTGCCACTAGAGACATACAGACACTGTTGTGTTGCAGTCAGATCTGAAAATAGACATACTATTTTTTCTTATCCTGACTCATGCTTATTTGCTTGTCTTCTTCTTCTGGTGAACCTAGTGGAACACTTGTATCTCCCAATTGAAGTTCCCTTCAATAAAAAATCACTCATTAGTACTCACCACGAGTTACCTCCCTTCTGCAAGCGCGGGAACGAGGGCGCCACCCAAGCCCATGTGCCTCACTCTCTCCTTCTTCGCCCAGTGAGCTGGACGTGAGAGCGCCTGTGTCTCCCAACACACTATATCCTTTATTTATATTTAGTTAGTTCCTCTTATACGTTAGTATAGAGGTATTACTAGTATATTTATTCAATTTGCATTGATTATTAATTGTGTTTCTGCTGTTTATTCACGCCGCTTAGCGTGATTGTTCAGTAGGCTACATTAATGAAAATTTGCACAGATTGTAAACTACGTTATTCTGATACCGATCCACATTTAAAATGCCCTAGTTGCATTACTCCATGTTCCTTTGATTCTCGTTGTAAATTGTGTATCAATTTACCAATCTCTGCCTTTGACAAATATTTATGTTCCGTTTATAGACGGAAGGCAGATAAATCTCGTAAAACAGATTTCAAACATGGCTAATAGATCGCAAATTAATGTTCCTTGTCAACTGTTGATTGAGGACACGCCACCAGCTGGTGGCATGCCTGAGTTTCCCTCGGCGGATAAGCGTGGGACGCAGTCCGCTATGTCCAAGAAGCGACCTGCATCTCAAGAGCTGCCGTCTTCTCAGTCCAAGTCGAGGAAACCAGCCGTATCATCTCATACACTCGTACACCAAGATCTACACCCTAATATTCTTTTCAGAAGAAGTCCTCCTTTGGGGTACATATAAGCATTAAAATGTCCATTTTAAATCCTACGACAGTTGTAACTATATTTTTAATAAAATATTTACAAAACAAAAAACTCGTTTTGTCTTGTGAGACCACCCCTACAGGGCCCCACCGGACCAACACAGCCAAGAGCAGGTAACTCTCGCCGTCTACCTCGTACCTCACTTTTCATGCTGTCGCTCTGTTGAATAGACGCGGCGTGGTGTTCGCTTCGAAGTTTGCTCTCCCACCGATAATGATGAGTGTAAAAGAGTCTCAATCTGTATGTATGGTTCCTTTCTCGCACGCACGGCGTTAGATGGACGCCATATGTGGATATTTTCATTCATCTTTTGTTGTAACTTTGCCGTGGTTCTCTGTTTTCCAGCCATGTGGCAGGCAAAATGGCGGACCGCCGCCGATCGTGGTTTCCTTTGCTATATGTTCTTGGTAGCTTGTAGTAGGGAGTTCATATATTATGTTTGCATATTATATGGTAGGCTTGCCTAAATTCTCTTTCTTTCAGCTTAATTTGTGGTAAGTCGTTGTTGAGTAATTTTGATAGTGTTCGCTTCAGATCACTCAACTTTACTCTATCACTAGTACACGCAGGGGTGGCTAGCCTTTTTCTGCTTTGCATTGTATGTTTAGTATTTAAATGGCTGTAGCTTGTAGCATTTATATATCGCCCGTATGGATTATTCTTGCTATTACTTGTGTTTATGTGTTTGCTGCTTCACAGTTCCTGCTAGTAACACTGGCGTGGTTCTGTTTGTTGCAGTTTAAGCCCTGTGCGTTGTGCCATGCACACTACCGCCACAGGATGGTTATAAAGTGTGCCTCCGTGTTTAGCCGAGGACGCCACGACGATCAAGGATGCTCATAATAAACGCCTTTGCGGCCAATATTCCTGTTACATTATGTTGTATTATGATACATATTTCATACGCTTACACACAACGTGGCTCATAGGCCGAGGTTGTGTTTTTTGTCTGGGTTTCTGCCACGCCAAGCAGCATTCTTTCCGACACGCAGATTTTATGTTTTTCACTAATCTGCTTCAGGCGGGGGATAATATTTGATTAAAGGTTTCTAAGGAAATCCCTTTATCGTTTCCCCCGCAAACAATGTTGCTGACTTAAATATGACTCAATTTGCTTCACTATTGCAGCAACATATTCTTCAACATAATGTCAATTCGATGATTGATAGCGCGATGTCCGGGCTCCGTAAGGAGCTCGGCTCGCAAAGTGTTGATCTCGAAGGTAAGTTCACCAGGTGTCGTCTGTGGTGAAATTCCCGCCCCGATTGACACGGTGCTGTCTGGGTTCCGCAAGGAGCTCAGCACGCCTGTCGCCGGGTGGATCGGACGCATCTGGGGGTTGGCTGCGCCCGAAGCTCTGGCTCGAGAACGCCTCCCAGGCAGCTTGATCCTGGCTTCGGCTCAGGTGATGGTGTGCCTTCGGCACCTTGTGGCGACCTAGCTTCGGGCTCAGGTTCGTCACGGGCGCCTGGCGCCGGCGATGCAGGTTTCGCCCTGCAGGTTTTGCCCTGGTGCCCTGACTGGCGGTCGCCTAGGCGCCGACCAGCTCGGGGACACCTCGGCGCCACGTGGTCAGTCGGGGTTGCCCGGAAACCTGTATATCGGCAGGTTCCTCTCGGCGCTCGGTCTGGGTTCCACTGAGCTGCCGATCACCTCGGCGCCCTAGGTCTACCTGTGTCCACCAGGGGCAACCTGCATTGCCAGGCTACTCCCTTGTGTCTCGACTGCAGATCGGACTAGCACCGACCTGGGCTTCGCCCCGGGTACGAGCAGATCCCCGGGCGCTGTTAGCTCAGGTCTCGCCTGATGTCTATCGATGCCCTGGCCAAGAGGCCGCTTGAGTGTGACGAGCGCCGATCACCTCTACCCGAGGTCTACCTGCGGCACACCAGGGGAGCCCTGCATTGTCAGGCCACTCCCATGTGTTGGGGATCGGGTTCAACTCGAACCGCCGACCGAAAGACTGACGCATACATACATGTGTATGTATGGGTATTTATATAGCTATAGGCTATGTTTGACTATACGCAGTGTGCTTTTGAGAGTACTTGGGAAACCTGATTTGTCAGGCTACTCCTACGTGTCTCGATCGGGTTCGGTCTAGAACAGCTGAGCTTCGCCTCTGCGGATTCTCTGAACCCGTTGGTAGCGCTGACCCAGGCTTCGCACTGGTAGGGCGCAGTTTCCGACTCGGTAGTTCAGGTCTCGCCCCGTAGTTCAGGTCTCGCCTGATGTCTATCGACGTATTGACCTAGATGCCATCGAGTGTGCCGGTGTGACTGTCACCTCGCCGCCCGAGGTCTGTCTGAGTGCTTGTGAAACCTTGATTGTCAGGCTTCTCACATGTGCCTCGAATCGGGTTCAGGCTCATACATAGTGGACAAGTCGATTTGAGCTTCGGCTCATTTCGCTACTTTGAACTTACCACTAAGTAGGTTCGTCCCTGAGGGCAAGTGCGAGATAGAATCGCGGCTGTGTTGCCTCAGGTGTTGTCCATGTCGACTACCCGAACCGTTGGAGTTCGCCTCCCGGAGGGAAGCCTGCTTCCAGCACGGCATCCGGGACAAGGCCTCACACTCTCCCTTAAGTCTGCCGTTCTTTCCCCTTCACAGCTCAACGCTGTATGCTCCACTCGGCGCATCTCTCAGCGCTGCTGAGGGAGCTGGTGGAAAGGGGAGAGAGCGCCGGTGGAATTTTTTCGTCGGCGACTCTGGGCGGCATCTGACGGGGGCAACTCTCATCTGGCTAGGGACTGCATTGTAGCTGTGCCAGTCAAATGATGAGGGCGGTTATGGGCATATACGCCCGGGACAGTTTCGAGGAATACGGAAGTCTGTTGAGCTTCTCGTTACTTCCTCAGGTGCCCAGGCATCGGCAAACGCTAAGCTGCCGACTGCTGGGGTTACTATATTCTGCCGCAAACACCGGGCGAGCGACACACTCCTGTGTCGGCTTCCCGGAGACGGCGACAATACTCGCGCTCCA